CCTTGTTGGTCTCTAAGGGGCTACTGGACCCAAAGTGAGCTGTTCTACTGTGCACCAGGCTGCCCTCTGAAACAAATAAGAACTCTTAAGAAGAGTTCTGTGATGCTGGTTGATACTGTCCCTGATTTGCAGGTGGGGAGTTGAGGTTCAGAGAGAGAACCTACCCAAAGCTTTTACTGTGGCTGTGAAGTGGGATTGGAGCTCCTGCAGCTTCTGATTAGCTGCAGGCCTGGTTTACAGCAGTGAGCTAAAATCTCTCCCAGGTGACTAGGCAGGGCAGGAAATCTGGTTCCCTCCCCCCCCCCACCTATTCACCATAAATGTGTGTAGGGGCAACCGTATCTCATTACTGCAATCCATCCCACCACTCCCTGCACCACCCTTGTGAAAAAAAGCATGCTGTATGTATTAAACAGAAGTGTTTGTATGCATGAGCCTGCAACGATATTATGAGGTCTCGGTTACTAGCCCAAAATTGGAGGGAGGGGGGGCTCTAGTAGTGCAATACATTCTTAGTCTTTGTATAGTATGTTTACACATTCAGTAACATTGGCTTGGACCCCACCACTCTGCTCAGTTGTGTACAGAGCTTTCCTCCGGCACAAGAAGCTGTCCTGCAGAACAAGAGGCTCTGTACTTAGCTGAGCAGAGCAGTAGGATCCAACCCATCATCTCCATTTGAGTCTTGGTGAAGTTAAGGTTGAAACACAGAACGACTTGCCTAAGGCCACCTGGTGAGTCTGTGGCAGAAGCATAATTTAAACTGGGGCGTCCCTCATTTGTAGCCCAGCTTCTTAGGCAAGACACTGCACCAGCCGTTTCATAGACTTTTGTGGCAAAGCTTGGTGTAGTGGTTAAGAGCGACGGAGTCTAATCTGGAGAACCAGGTTTGATAAGCCCTGGTTCTGGTGACATTCAGCCTAATGGGGAGAACTAGAGTATGAATTACCTTGATCTTGGTCTCCAGCGACACATCCTTACACTTAAGAATCTTTTCCAGCTCCTTCATGGCCGCCCTTCCAAGTCTCAGTCAATGTTCCCTCTAAGCTATGGAGTCTTGTGAGCAAAAATTGTGCTTTGTGAGCTACTGGCATTAAAGTTGCGAGCGAGTCATTTGGCTACTGCATAAATTAGTTTGCTCTGGAGCCCTCCTTCCTGAGCTAAGACAAAAATGTGTGAGCCGGAGCCTAAAAAACTGTGAGCTAGCTCACACCAACTCAGCTTAGAGGGAACACTGGTCTCAGTCTCCTTCTGATTTCTTGGTTGCAGTTTTCCCTTCGGTTGATGATGGAGCTGCACACAGCAGTGTTATATGCTTGCCCCCACATTGCCCAGCATAAAGCTGGACCGGGGCTTGCCGAGACTGGGAAAAGTTTTCAGTTTGTTTGTGCTACTGAGGTTTGTGCTACTGAGACTGGGAAAAGTTTTCAGTTTGTTTGTGCTACTGAGGTTGGTTGGGGTTTGTGTGTGTGTGTATGGGAATCAAGCTGATGGTTGAGGCCCTCATGAACAACTGTACCAACTGAACTCTTTGTGTTTGTGTGTGTGGTGTTGATTCTCTCATTCCCAGGGCCGCCCAGTATGCCTGCACTCTACTCGGCTACACGCTGCAGAAGAACGGGGCCAGCCCTGATTTCATTGCTAGGATCAAGCAGCTAGAGGCTCACTTGAGCTTGGGACGCAAACGTGAGTGCCAGGGTGACTGACGGAACTGGTGGGAAGGCTTAGCCTGCAAGAAACCCAACTCTCACTCCCGTTTGGCTGTTTTTCGGGAGGAACACCCCCCTTCTGCCGTTATGAGGGACGCGCTGGCCCTTCCGCTTAGTAGAGCACCATATAGTTTTTAATGTGCTTGACTCTGTCTGCAAGAACGGCCCTGTTGCGTCTTAGAGAGCAGCGAGAGTTTTGGGGGTGGGGGTGAGCTTTCGAGAGTCAGAGCTTCCTTTTGTCAGGTGCGAGGGTACAACTCTCAAAAGCTCATATCCCCCCCCCCCAAAAAAAACTTGTTGGTCTCTAAGGGGCTACTGGACTCAAAGTGAGCTGTTCTGCTGTGGACCAGGCTGCCCTCTGAAACAAAGAAGAACTCTTAAGAAGAGTTCTGTGATGCTGGTTGATACTGTCCCTGATTTGCAGGTGGGGACTTGAGGTTCAGAGAGAGAACCTACCCAAAGCTTTTACTGTGGCTGTGAAGTGGGATTGGAGCTCCTACAGCCCGGCTGTGTCTCAGTTCAGCAATCTGCCCACTAGATTCAGCTTCTGATTAGCTGCAAGTCTGGTTTCCAGCAGTGAGCTAAAATCACTCCCAGGTGACTAGGCAGGGCAGGAGATTTGGTTCCCTCCCCCCCACCTTAAAAGTGCACAGGTGGAATCATATCTCATTACTGCAATCCATCTCACCACCCTTGTGAAAAAAGCATGCTGTATGTATTAAACAGAAGTGTTTGTATGCATGAACCTGCAACGATATTATGAGGTCTCGGTTACTAGCCCAAAATTGGAGGGAGGGGGGGCTCTAGTAGTGCAATACATTCTTAGTCTTTGTATAGTATGTTTACACATTCAGTAACATTGGCTTGGACCCCACCACTCTGCTCAGTTGTGTACAGAGCTTTCCTCCGGCACAAGAAGCTGTCCTGCAGAACAAGAGG